GCAGGTCATGCTGCTGTGAACATAGGGACCAAGGTTAGTATCTCCTGAACTATTTGAAGTCACTAAATTCTGTTTACATTACCAAGAAGTAGCTCCTTAATCATCGGTTTGTGCAGGTTTATGTCATAGGTGGAGTTGGTGATAAGCAATATTACAGTGATGTTTGGGTTCTCGATGTTGGGATATGCTCATGGGTTCAGCTTGAGATACGGGGTCAGCAACCACAAGGGAGGTTTTCGCACACTGCTGTAGTTACCAACAATGACATTGCCATATATGGAGGGTATGCTTCTCTGTTTTGATGTGTACCATCAAAACTATTCAATATAATTTGTTGTAGCAATCAATTAATTTGTTGTGCTTTGTTTTCACAGATGCGGGGAGGATGAGCGGCCTCTAAATGAGTTTATCATTCTGCAGTTGGGATCCGAGCATCCCAATGGGCGGTATAACATCTCCATGTGCAAAATTTTTGGCAGCCACTGGATTCAAGAGAAGCGAAAATTTTTGAGGACAGAAAATTTGGTAAGAGACATCTATTTCTTCTTGTCGATGAAGCCTTCAGATGTTTAGCTTCATTATTCCGAAACTTAGTTATCTGTGTGATTCGACTTAATCATGCAGCAAACTGCTGTGGTTCCAAAAAATGGGGAACAGAGTCGTAGATCCAGTGAAGTGGAAGTAGAACCAAGGAACTCAATGGCATTGGGTATGTTTTGTCTCTTATCTTATTGCAGTCGGTGATGTCAGCATTGCATTATGCTAATATAATCACATTTCATCTTTGCTACACAGAACATATGACTGTTAAAAGGAGGAAAACCAATGATGCAAGAGTGTCAGAGAATGAATCAGAGCCGGAAGAACATTCTCTTTCGCTCTCCCAACATTCGTCTCCATCGCAATCTGACCAAGAGCAGAATATAGTCCAGAAGCTGTCGACTTCTGCTAATGACTCCATTTTGCCTCAACAATTTGCTCGGGTGAAGCTATATAATCATAGGGAACCGGTAAAAAATGTTCAAAGGAGTACCAAGGATACACACTTCTTGGGTGGTGAATCTCCTAGGCAGCCAAAGGCCGAGCAGTTCCTTCGTGCCGTGCCACCACTTAGGCAAGAGTGTGTATTACTAGGAGCAGAACCGAAGCCTCAACTTAGACCTTGTTTCTCTCCCTTGGTAGGCAAATACCATGGCATATGTTTGCATCCTAAAATTTGCTTGTTATCTTTTTATAATCTAATTCTTATATTCTCTGGATTTTACCACTGTTGAATGTCTTATGCAGATTGGAGCTGAAGTTCATGGAACCGTGGATGGAGCTTTTGACTCTGGGTACCTCATGACCGCTAATGTTAATGGTCAAATTCTCAGAGGTGTCTTGTTCAGTCCGGTGAGATTATTCTTACACATATTAATGACTAATGAGTGCGAAATGGAAATTGATATCTCGATTATGGTTGTTTATCTGAAAAAAATTCTTTTAATGACACTGCTGCGCTACAATCATCAGGGTCCAGCTGTTGCAGCTCCGAGGCCTGCGATAAATTCACAGGGTTTGACTTGCGCCACTGCAATTTTCCAGCATTCTCCAAGTCCACATGCCACACCTTTTCATGTCAGGCCACCACGGCAGCCGATCTCTGGTGTGCTACCTGAATATGGTCATCATTTGAAGCAAACTCCGCAAGTGCAAGTGGTTAAAGCCCAGCCAGTGAAGTTCAAAGGTGATATGCAAGATGTAGTCCTCACACTGGGAGGACCAGGTGGAGGTGGTTTGTCTTAAAAGTTATGCAGTCAATTAAGATTTTAGGCTTTTGTTTTGTTTGGTTTTGTTTTGCTTTTGTAAATTCTAATTTGGGAAATAAGATTACAAGTTTTGAGATGTTAGGCTTGATGGTTATTGCTGTAGTTGCTTTCATTGAATGCAAAGTATAAATCTTGATATTGTGGTTTGTGTACATGAAGATTTGAACAAATTCATTCATGGTGATCTTGTTATGACCAATCAGCATATACTTGACTGATAAGAACAGCCCTTGGGTGTTGTCACAAGAGTCTTTGTTTGTTTGTTTTTTTTTTCTTGGTGTTAAAAAGCAATTTTTTTCATTGTCAAACAAACTCTCCCACCCCTTGTTTTGCTTGGTAAATGTTGAATGGACAAGAAAAGGGTTATATGATGGATCAATTTACTGGTATTGTTTCTACCTGAAACATTCAACATGGTGTTTGTTCAGTCATATCCTGCATCTGAGAGGAAAGAACAATAGAAAGAACACCTTTCAATGGATGTTCTAGTGATTGGTCACTCATGGAATGCAAACCATATGAGATGTTTGCCCATGCTTCAGGAAATGTCATATTTGATTGTGTTGCTGTGTCATAATGGATGTGTCAGTGATGGGTTACCACTCATGGAATGCAGACCATATGACATTGGAGAAGAAAAAGAACCATGTTTTGAAAGGTATGTATTCCATTAAAGATCATAGATCTTCTGGCAACTTTGGCTAAAAGATGGTGAAAGGCTGTGATTTCCAGCTGTATGAGAGAATAAAATTGATTCAATTTTGGATAAAAGATAGTGAAATTTTGTGTTTTAATAGAGAGAATCCCATGTCTTCTCCTCCAGACATGTTCTAGTCTGAAGCTTGAAGCCATTGTGATGTCATATAATTTTCTCAATGCATCAGTGCTTTGTGATGCTTCATTTCCTTGTTGATTTGGCTGTCCTTTCTTGATCTGAAGTTATCAGAAGGTCATATCTAATATATATATATATATTGTTTTTCTTATCATACTTGCTATTCCCATGTGGGGTTATATATGGTATTGTGTTATGCACCATCCAAGAGGCTTGCACTATCCTATCTTGCTTCCTGGTGTATTAAAGAATCCAAGAATGAGGCCTTTAAATTGACTCTACTAACAGATGACACCATCTTTTTATTGTTTGGTTTTAGTTTGCTACTGAGAGATTGCCAAGGGTTACAGACCCTTCTTTTATCAGCTTTCAATTGACAAGCAATGATAGAATTCTAAGCATCCCAGGATGTTAACAAACATTAAGAACTATTAAGATTCTGAGGATAATAAATATATTATTCCTTTTTTCTCCAATAGGCATGCATGTACAGACCCTAAGATCTTAATAGAGACCGTCGAAACGCGACAACAGCAATGACAAAAAGATTTGATGCAGTAATATCTAGGCTGAAGATATTGTTAACATTAACTATGAAATGGTTAGTCCTTGGAGTGGCTCTAATGCCCCATTCATATATCTCTAAGTTATTGAGGAAATGAATGCTCCTTCTAGCTTAGACCAAATCTCATGGTATTGTTTAGCTTGTGGATTGGAAGTTGTTCCATGGTGAATGCAATTCCATACGTTGAACAATGTTAAACCAAAAATGTTGCATTGTTTCTCTGTGCAATCAACTCTCCTGCTTAATTTTTACCAATTATTGATAAATTTTTACCAGATGTGCAGGTTACACGAAGCAAATCTCATTTTTCCGGTTGCAGGTTATTGCTGATGAACAAAGAATTCCTTCTGTTGACAAATTATGTTGCATCATGACATTCATACTAATGACTCTTCATATTCGGCATTTTAGCTCCATTTTGTAAATGTTTTACAAAACTATATCCATCAGCCAAGTCAATAATCCAAAGTTCAGAAAGACAAGTAGGTTACCTTCATCAAGAAAATAAAGAAATATATCTGAGAGATACATAGGTAGTCGAGTACTGTAAAAATTGAAACAGATTTTGATTGTTCTTTAGCTTTTCTCCTTTGTGTAGGAAAATTTTGTGAAATAGGACATGCAGATGAAAAATAAATAGAAAAGCTACCAAGAGAGCAGTATTGTAATCGAAACTTGTTGAGTTAAAAGCCCAGAATGAATCTAGAGAAGTTGCCAAATAAAAAAAATTGATCAATTATGAACTACTTTTGGATTAATCAGGCCTTGGAAGGTGGTTTGATAATGATTATGCCAACTAAAATTCTCTGTCTGATAGCTTCAAGAATTTTGTTACCGATGTAGGTCAGTCACAATCAATCAATAAATTCTTGTAAATTCCAGCTTTTCTTGGTCAAGGTGTATGCTAACTATGTTGAACTTAGTGGAAATTATCCCCGTTCTACCCCCAAATTTTATGGTTTTCTGTCTGATAG